GAAAAAAAATTTTATGTGGTCTTGATGACCTGACATCATCAGGCCTCACAGCCTGTGTTAATGTCTGGACTGAACGGCTGATGAGCATCCCTTGCTGAATTTCATTCTCAAAAGCTTACTTTCAACCCAAATATAGGATCTTGGGCAAAATGGCATGAGTTTCTATGTCATATGGTTTATGGGTTGTGCTGTTCATTGCTTCTTGGTCAATAATGGTCGGATCTGGGAAAGGCCTGATTTGCTATGGACCATCAGAGACATATTACTCCTCCCTAGGTACAAGGTCTGCCTGTGGCTATGTATAGTCCCTTAGCCCTGGGCCCCACATCCTGGGCCAATGAACTAATCACATTATTAGAAAGAAATCAAGACATTTTTGCCTTGAGATAATATTAATGGTTATAGTATTTCACTAGGTATGAGACAAGAGAGGTGGCTGCCAGTCATCATGTGGTAGAAGATGAAGCTTCAAATCTTTATCCTAACTTTGACATCGAGTTCCTGTGTGTTCTTAGGCAACACCCATTATCCCTAGCCCATTTTTCCTTGAGTGAGAAAAATTCATTGAGTTGAGTTCATTTTTAATCTACCTTTTCTGCTTTAGCAGTATATCATGGACTATATGGCTTAAACCAACAATATATTTTCTGCAACTTTTAGGAACTACAAGTGCAGATCACTGTGTCAGCATGGTTTCTTCTCTTGAAGTGTTTCTTCTTGTCTTGCAGAAGCCTGTTTTGTTCTAGTGTTTACATGTGATGTACAGTCTTTGCATACAGCCTCCTGGTGTTTCTGTGTGTCCAAATTTCTTCTTATAAGAATATAAATGAATGTCTTTGTTTTGTCATATGAGACATTTGGTATAGAAGGAAATATAGCCTATCAGGAATATATAACAGTCTCCAAAATGGAAGACTAGAACTTAATACAAAGATAAAACAGGTGAGAATGTGTGTTTCAGTTCATTCACTGTGTAGGTGAGGGGCATGAAGTACTTTCACAAACACTTTCTTGAAAGTCTCTGGTAAAGACACACTTTGATTAGTCTATGGGAGGTAGGGTGCAGTGTCTTTCCTCTGGGATCTTCTAACTTCTACTTCTTCCAAGTGCCACAGCTTTCCTGAAGGCTCCTAAATCATTGCTTGATTGATAAAGGCTCCAGAGAATGGGATGACTGTGAAATCCCTGAAGTTCCAGCTTGTCAGATATAGCATGGCTTTTCCTCACTTCAGAGAATTTCTTCCCATAAATCAGAGCTTCGGGCTAAAGGAAGCCATCACACACTGGGGTTGCAAATCCTATGGAGAAACTGAACAACTTCTACTATATAATAATGGCACCAAATTCTATACAAGGATCTCTGTATACTATACATGTACACTTGCTGAGAGGAAAGAATAGGAACCAAGTTGACAAAGCCTACTAGGTAAATGACTGCATTTTTGCACTTCGCCTGTATTCTCAGGGTTAGCTATGCAAACCATGTTATAGCACAAGTGTACTAACACTTAATTTATTGCTGAGTTAATGCTCAAATTCCTGTTGTAGTTCAGAGAGCATCTCTTAGCCAAGTGCAGATGAGGGATTCAGACTTCTACCCCCTCATAAATTCTTTATTCTTTCAAGATCTCAGAATCTTTGGTTAACATTTCTGGAAAAGGCACAGCTATCTTCTGGCCGTGCTGGCATTGATACCACCTATATATATAACCCCTCTATTAGTAATAATTAACCTCATGACCATAGATAGATGCCTAGGGGTCTCTTTACAGAAAGAAGTCTACACTGGGGGCAGGAGAAGGAAAATTTGAGTGGTCAATAGGTGTTTCTGCCACCAAGCCATGCTTCTCACAAGGACCCTATGCTCTTGTTCCAATCACCTGTGCTCCTCTAAATAACACCAGGTAACAACCAGTACTCATTTCCTGGATGCCTGGAGGGTTCAGCAGGTATCATCTGGAAGGACTAGATGCTTTAAGGAGTAAAATTCAAAGTGTATCAAAGGGGGAAGGCTGAAACACATCTTTCATAGGTCAGTCAAGAATACTTGGCTTTCTCACTATGTTAGTCTATCAAAAGTTGTCCCTGCAGCAGAATGGTTATGGTATGAGATGGGCTGTGTGATCACACAGATTTTGCCCATTCTTAGCTTTTCTTACAACACCAAGTCTCAGGTACCACTAGTATTTATTTCCTTGGATTATCCTCACAATGGAAGTCTTGCACATAAGACATTTTGCAGAATTTTTGCCACATCATAAGCTTTTAATAAATATTTGTCAGGTAATCTTATAAATGAATAAAGGTACATATTGCATAGAAGTAAAATCATAATGCTACAACTAGAAACTGTTGCAGTACTAATTAAATATGAATCTTTAGATTTTTTTCTATTCAGAAAAAATCACTTTATTACTAAAATGGGATCATATAAGACTGACTCAAAAATACTTCAATGCCGGGAATTTAGCTCAGTAGTATAAGCACCTTCCTGGGAAGCATGAAATCATGTGCTCAAAACCTAGTACCAAAAAAACCTTAAATTATAAATCACTTACTATTTTGATAAATGATATTTTGTGGCACACCACAGCTGCCCCGCCTGGAGGAGGGAGCTGAGCTGAACCACAGGGGCCTGCTTGGGCCTTGCCAGCAACCTTCTCTTGGGCCTGAGATCACTGGTACTACTGCTGCCACCTGGAGGAGGGAGCATCCATGGGGAGGTTTGAGGGCTACATAGGCCATATGCGTGACCTTCTTTCAGCCTGGGGAGCTTTGCAACCCAAGGAAGTGGATCACACAATATCTCATCCCAGGGAGAGTTTGAGATCATTGCTCTAGGTGGTAGGGTGCCCACTTGGCTTGTAGCCACACTGGATTGGGCTTAGCGGTATTTGGGCCTGCCTGGACCATGCCTGGTGGCCTTCTTTTGGTCCAGGGAGCTCTTCCACCAGAGAGGAAGCTGTGTAGCTTGAGGAGGCTTCAGGCCTAACTGAGACAGGCCTGGCAACCTTCTTTTAATCCAGGGGCCTCGCTGCCCAGGGAGGAACTACACTACCAGAGGAGTCCCAGGAATCCAGGATATAAGAGAAAATTTCCAACACACCCAGGAAAAGCTTTGGAACAAAACTTGAAACACAGAAATATAGGAAAATGACAAAATGAAAGACCAAAATGCATCACAAATATCCAGCCCAACCCAAGAAAGCCTAGGAGCCATGTACATAGAAGAAAATATAAGCCATATGCCTGAAATAATAGTAATTGAAATAAAGAAGCAACTCCAGGAAGCTTTAAATGAATTCAAATGAGAAATAATCTTCCAGATAAAAGAAGAAACAACAAAAGTAATGACAGAGATGCTGAACACATCTAGAGAAGATGCAGTTAAAAAATCAGAGGAACAAAACAAAAAGATAGAGTCCCTGGATGAACAATATAAGAAACAAACAGAATACATAAAGCAGATTCAAAGAGATATACAGGAAATCAAAAATTACATTGAAAGTTGTCAAAACCACCCCAATGAAATTGAAGATAGAATTTCAGAACTCGAAGACAACTAGTACAGCTAGTGAACAGGAAAAGAAAGATCTCTTAAAAATAACAAGGAATCAGGAAATAGCAATCCAACAGCTGCAAGATGACTCAAAGAAAAACAATGTAAGATTGACAGGGATAAATGAAAAACAAAGGGACAACACAAATGATATCAAGAGACTATTTATGGAAGTAATAGCTGAAAATTTCCCAAACATGAGAATGGAAACTGACATTAGGATCAGTGAAGCATATAGAACTCCAAATAGTCAGAACCAAAACAAAACTACACCAGACATATAATAATCATCATCCCAGAAATCCAACATAAAAATAGAGTATTTAAAGCTGTTAGAGAGAAGAGACAGATCACCTATAAAGAAAAGCTTATCAGAATCACAGCAGACTTCTCACCAAAGACAGTGAAGTCAAGAAGAGTATGGAGTGACTTTTACTGTGCATTTATAATGCTGGATAATTGGGTTCTTTCAAGTTTTTAACCATTATGAATAGGACTGCTATTTATGTACACATATATGAACATCAAGTGTTTTTGCTTCTCTCAATTTTACAGTTAGGACTAGAAATGTTGCTTCACATGGGAGCACTTTCTTTAATAGTAAACTGTCTCTCCACGTAGTCATAATAGTTTTTATAGTAGTTTCACAGTGGATCGTGAAGGTCTTTTGATCTACCTAAGCACTTTGAGTGAATGCGAACTATTTGCTTAGACAGCTCTACAAACTGACATTTAAAATATTCACCATAGGGCATTTGATGATTCTATAAATGAGAATTCAGGAATCTTTGTGTTCTGAGAAGTTTATAAAGAAGACTTTCCCAGTTGCATCCAGAATATTCTTCATGCCTATTATTTGGTGCTCTCACATTGCAATGTGTCTTCCCTACCTGCTCACTCTTGTCAACTACCTGGAGAACTCTTGAGATATTAAAGTCATATGTGAATCCACAATGTTACTCTGTAAATTTTTAAACAATGAATAAATAAATCAATGGATGAGTGATCAGATGCAAAGGATGACATGTAAGTCTAGAACACTTAGCAGAGATATTGAAAAGCTGATTTATGCTTTGGAAAAGGCACCAGATGAAATTTAAGATTTTTTCCCAAAGATGACCAGTGAAATAAAGAGATATCATCTAATCTCCAACTGAGTACCTCTGGGACTATGAGATGTTGTAAGAATTTTCAAGTTGTGCTGTGGACCTCCGGCCAAAGTTTCCCTTTACCCATAAGTCATCTTCCAATGAAGCTTATTTCTTTCTAGTGGTGCCCATTTTGAGTAGTTCACAGTGCACTGAGATGTGAGTCATACTAGAAAGATACCGTTATGCAAGAAGTTGCTTGCAATCTGTAATCTAAGTACAGAGTCCAGACTGTTCAGATAAAAGATTAGATAAAAATTTTATGAGCAAAAGTTCATATGAAGTAGGGTAAACTGGATGAGTGCAGCATGAGAGTCCCAAGGAAAGCCTAGGGAAAGCTTTAAAAGAGGGAATTCTTTTCTATTATTTTGTATTATATAAATAGGCTGGCTGTGTGGTATTCACAGGAACATATTCAGTGTTGGGGGAAGACAAGAGCAACCCTGTGAATCAGGACAAAAACCTGCTGGACTCCCAACCTGTTGTCCTTCCGTGATGAGACTCTACGGACTGTTTTTGGCATCTATGGCTACTTCCATGGCAAAGGGTGAGCACTATGAAAATAAAAACATCTCAGATCATGTGGTACAAGTTTTGAGAAGATGTGGGTGGAGATGTCATGAGGAAAGGACATGACAGGCCCACTCATGAGGAGCCCTCACTCTGGCCATAGATATTCAGCACTCAGGCCACACAGTTTGTTCTGGACATAGTGAAACACAAGGGAGGAAGTGCACTCTGAGCTTCTAGGGAACACACCAGTGCAGAAGTGTGATGAACTTACCTCATGTCTCACAGATAAGGATTCAGAGAGCTCAACTTGCATTCTTAGTCCAGATATGGTTGTCTTATTTAAAAAGGCTTAGTCTTAAAAAACTGTAAGTTAAATAGTTAACTTCATTGTGGGTATATCATCCATTTTTTTCCATTCATCTTTAATGAAGGGTTGTGTATAACTACAATCAAGTTTTATAGAATGGATGAAATGGTTTGTTAATGCTAAGCCCTTTGGATGGTGCTTTATCGTGGACTGGTCAGGTCTGAAACATCTTGCATGATTGGATGATGAGTAGCTTAAAAAAAAGAGACAAGCACAGAAAATATATTCTTGGTCAATCCAGGTCGACTTCTGTACCAGTGAATTCCTCACTCCTTATTCCAACTGCTATAGCAATTTTCTCATTGTTCTCCAAGGACACAATGTCTCTCCTCACACTGTTTAGTTTGTCTGTGGTTTCTATCCTTATGGGTTGAGCTTTGTCAGAAAACGGGCCATCTCTTGTGCCTCCTCTCATCAGCATGCAGTGCAACACCAGGATTCAAATGACTACATTTCTACCATTTGATGAACACAGAAACTGTGACTCAGAGAAACATGGACTCTCCAGAGTTAATGTGGAAAATCATGCCTTGGTCTCACTGACTCCTGAAACAGGACAGAGCTCAAGTATTATAACTGTGAGGTCCCTGATACCAAAAGGTTTTATCTTTTGTTTGGTTATGTAACACTGTGAGAGAATTTGAATGAATAAAAGCAGAGAAATGATCCACAGTGGGAACAGAACTGTTCTGCACTGCTGGGTAGCCTGCCATTCATTTCCATCTTTAGGCTGCAGTAAGTTTTATACTTACCGTTGTCTGTAACATGATCATATTCATGCTAATCTAGCAAAGTTTTGTTTGAAAATCAGCTTAAAGGAATGACAGTGTGAGTCTGTCATAAAGTGTATGCTATAGTTTTCATTCCTGTTTAAGCCATCCAAGCCATGCACATTTTCACCCTGGGCAACCTGGCTTTAGCACCTTGCATGAAGCTGCAGAATTATCTCTGAGCTAACACAGACTACACCTAGACTTTCCTACCATAACTTCCTTCACCTCTTTGAAGCACTCTTCACTGCTGCCAGCACAGCCTCCTCTTTTGCCTTGACTGTCCTAACACTGTAACTTTCTCACACACTGCTGATAGGTGCTTTCAGGGCAAACTGCAGTTATCTCTGGGCTTTCTTCTCAGATAATTCTCTTCTCTCATAGAGGACTGAAGGCAGTCACTCGCCTTCAGGTGGATTACTGTATCTTCCCCTCACCTACTTCCTTTACCATCTTAGGATATTCTTATCCTATAGCAACTTCTTAGAAGGATTCTTGCTGAGTCTATGCAGCATATAGATCCAGTAACATAAACCAACTCTTCTTTCCCTGCTTTTTTCTTTGAGAAACCCACATTGTGTCAAGGTCTAAATCCTCCTTCACAATTTCTTGTGCAGACCTCCCTTTTTCTTCCTCACATTTTTCTCTTAATTATTAAAGGGTACCCATGTGTAGCGCAAAAATCCTTGGGTAGCAAAAGAAATAATGAGCCCGGCAAAGCCACTACACATGGGCATCTCAATACATTTGCTTCACAGAAAGTGCATTTTGATGGGATTGATAATACTTAAACAAGAACAAAAGAAAGTAGCAAAAGATTTATCCTTTGAAAAATGTCCCATTTTTTCTCTCTCCGGTAGAAAGTCTTGCTCAGGACACCAGACCAAGATATAGAGGTTTATTGTGTCCTTAGTTTAGAACTGTTTCTGCTCCTCAGTTGTCCACTAGGTAAAGCCCAGTTCTTTAGCCTGTCTTTCAAGGCCTTTTCTAACACACATTTACTCATTCCAGGATTGTCTTGCACGCCCCACGGACCTCAGCTGGGCATATTCATGCATTGCCTGCTGGTTCCCAGCCCTGTCCTGTATGTTGCTGTCTGTGAGGATCTGCACATTTTCTCCACTGTCTTTTATACATTCTCATTCTATATTGCATTATACACTAATTCTTGGCTGTACATCCCTGGTCCTCTGTACCAGTGAATTCCTCACTCCTTATTCCAACTGCTATAGCAATTTTCTCGTTGTTCTCCAAGGACACAATGTCTCTCCTCCCACTGTTTAGTTTGTCTATGGTTCCTGTCCTTATGAGTTGAGCTTTCTCAGAAAAGGGGCCATGTCTTGTGCCTCCTCTCATCAGCATGCGGCACCAGGATTCAAATGAATATTTGCTTCCAAGGCAAGGACTGAATGTTCTATTCATTCCCAGCCGCTTTCCATTGTGCAGAGACTGTTGCCTGAGTGCTTTCTTATTAGCTGTTCCAATTTCCTCCTCTAGGCAGCCTTTTGAGTCAGGAAGGACATTTTTCCTTATCCTCATTTTATTTGAGAAGAAACTGAGTTCACACGGGTTTGAGTGATTCATTGAAACTTGTGTTTGAGGGATGTGTCAAAACCCAACTAGAATAGTGCTAACCTCATCTTTTTGATGTGGCCATTTTTCCTCTCTATGTCCAGCTGAACACCCGTCCTCACCACCTGTGGTGGACACCAAGTATGGCAAAGTGTTGGGGAAGTATGAAAGTCTGGAAGGATTTGCACAGCCCATGGCTCTCTTCCTGGGTATCCCTTTTGCCAAACCTCCTCTTGGATCCTTGCGATTTGCTCCTCCACAGTCTCCAGAGCCATGGAACTATGTGAAGAACACCACATCTTTCCCTCCTTTGTAAGCTACTGGGCTTGGGTTTGGCCTCTGTCACTGGGTATGTTTGTCTTAGAGGGATGCAGCAAGAGTCAGACCATCCACTGATTGGCTTACATTTTGCTCTACAATCCTAGAAGACTATTGAATCTTATAAAACTTTCCCTGATTTCACCACAATATGGTGCTCTTAATCATTAACACAGGTTGCATGCCAGGCATGAGTTAGATTCTCACAAATATTAGTTAACATCATGATAATCCTTCCTTTCATGTAGCAGGTAGAGAGAGATAATAAGTAGTAACAAATTAATAAATGATTTGTGTATTTTATGAAACTATGTGAATAGTTCTGGAAATAAATACTGAAAACTCAGGGAGAGGACAGGTAGTTTATGGTGTCTGTTTTCCCATCTTAAGCCCTTTGCATGTCTCTGAAATGTGTGGATGAAGGAAGGATGTGGTTGTAGGGCATATTTGAGATCAATTTTGCAACTTCTCACTCCCTGATGTGTCTAGATTCTATGCTCCAGTCACCTTGCTTAACTGAGAAAAACAAAAAATCCTGTCATGTACAATTGGTTTCACAACCATCCTCAGAAAACCTCAGAAAATTGCTTTATTCTGTGTCTATTGGGATAATAGAATAATTCTTACAATGTACATGAGAAAAAGAATACAAAATTACATGAATCTTCCCATTTGTGTGACCTTGGCCTGTTACCTAAAATCTCTGTTCTTCAGTTTCTTATCTGTAAAATGATGATAATAACAGAATTCATGCCTCAGGATGATCTGAGGCTTAAATGAGTTACTTCATAAAAATTAAAATTGGAGGCTGGTGCACAGTAATAGTTCAATATACTTTAGCAATTTGAGTTTGTGCTGAATATTAGAGACCTCTTATCAGGCCAGCAGACATGTTGATGAACTTTAATGTGTTGGATAAGTGAGACCTTTAGACAAAACAGTCACTTTACTTGGCTCTGGGTGATTGAAGTCTAGTGGAGAGAGAGGTTCATGCAAGGTCACTCAAAACAACAGATGACCAGAGGAAAGAATGAAATTCATTTTCCCAGAGATTGTCTTCATAAATGCTTGCTAAAGATGAATATCAGATATTTGGGAAAATTCTGCTAGGTGATAGAAGTCTACCAAGAATTACAAGTTGGTTACCTGGTGGAAGCTCATAGTTACCTGGTAATTCAGTAGAGAATGGTGCTGTCCTAGGAAATGCAGGAAATGTGATTTCCGAGGACCAGTCAGTACATGGGCAGCCTTATTTCCCAGAGTGAGAGACTATCTAGGGCTCAGAAGGGAAAGCACTACTTCATTCTCACTCTACATGGTCTAGGAGGTGACTAAAAAAACCCTGGCTCCCATGAAGGCCTCAAGAAAGTCTCCTACTGAATATAAATTCTTCTATTCCAAGTGGTAACATTTCCATTTATAGGCTTCAACTTTCTAGAACTTTGTCAGGATGCAGGTGACCCTTGGAGCTTCCATCTGGTTGAAATTTGTGTTCTTTTTTTTCTGTCAGTTGCTCCCAAGTTCCATTAGTAACACAAATGGCACATTCTGATGGGATTGTTTCTGAAGACTGTCTGTACCTGAATATTTACACTCCTGTTGACTCAACAAGGAAAAGTAGCCTCCCGGTAAGAATGGGAACCTTTGGGTAAGATTGATGGGTTCCAGCATCTGGACTGTCCACTACTTATCAGATGGTGATGAAGGCATCTTGAAGCAAAAGAAGCATGTGCCAGGACAGATTCTGGGAAAGGAGGTTCTTTTTATCCCAAGAAATACAACTTTCATTTCCTCATTCTATGAATTATCTGGAGCTTTTGGGGGAGAATGATTATCATCTGGAATATACAGCTTAGATTTTCCAAGTTTCTCACAATAAGAAAAAAACAAAAAGGGTTACACTTTGTTCAAGATTAAAACTCTTACTTCATGCAGCCAAGATTTAGTTTTCTACAAAGGAAGAGATAGAATCTTTGAGAAAATTGAACAAACCCAACATTTTTACATATAGGGAAACTGATGGACAGATGGAATAAAAGCAGCCACATGGTAATGAAGGCACACTAGGCCTTCAGTCTTCTGAATTTCAAAAGAGTGCTCTCTAACAGAAATTGGAAATGAACGTATGGCCTGGGTTGCTACATACATCACCTGTGATGCTTTTCACTATTTTAAAAGTACAGTGAACACTTTCATTATTTTCTGGCATAGGCGTAGGTGAGCAACAGTAGGAGAGTCTCAGAAAAACTTTCTTGCTTGAGCCAAACCATCTGAGATTTATGTCATAGCTGCCTAATTTCCTTTGGCACTGGTGAATGTTCCAATGAGTTAGCATGTTCCAATGAGTTAGTATGTTCCAAAAAAAGGGTTCAAAGGTGAGGCAGGCTGAAGTTGTTGACCACTGTATGGGGAAAGCATAATGGAGGCAGGAGTGAGCCTCTAAAAATATCTTCTTAAGTGTCCCAAGAATTGTGTACTTGTTTGTGATCTCAGAAATAAAAATTGACCCTCTCTATGCTTTGTAAAGCATAAGGAAGTGAGAGGAAAATTTTCCTCATTCATTGATTTTTTCATTCATTCACTCATGCATTTAATTTTCTCTTTTGTGCTCAGATGAGCAAAACTGTAAAGTTGAATCAATATAAATAATGACCATGTAGATCCTGTCTTGGACAATTTTGCTCTCTTGTATTTATACCCACCTGCTAACTTCTCAGCACATCATTATTGATTATCTCTAGGACTCAGCTTCCTTTACTGATGACCCTGACTCCATCTCTGCCTTGGGGATATGCTGGTATCAGAGATCAAGAAGAAACAGGGGTTTAGAAGAAAGAAACCAGGAGGCCATCCAGCTTTGGACATGAGTTAGAATATAGGGTACTGCTTTGATTGGTATATAGTGTTGAATAGCTTCTTAATTTCCCTGATATTTTTTCTTGAAGTAGAACAACACCGATAAGTATTTAATTATGACAAGTCAAATCTTTTTAGAAATCTGAGCATGTTCATAAATGAACACTGATGAATGCAAGTAAGAAGTGACTTTCTATGGTGTGGCCATGGGTTTCTGTCAATGGGCACCCCAACACCTGAATGCTGGGGCCATACTGCATGGTGAAGTTCATTTACTATCACTTATTAGCTGTGGCATTGTGATCAATAACATTTATCAATTTGTATCTTCCATGTGTGCGTTTTCCTGTCTGTCATATGGGAAAATATTAGTGTTTTCCTCATGAATGGATTATTTAAAAGTGCTTAGAATAGGTATATAAATATTTATATTTATGGTTTTATAATTTACTAGAAAAATAAACTACATTAAGCTATTATTTTATCCTCTCTCAGGACTTCCTTTAACGTAAACTCTTGAAATTAAGCAACTATGATTATAAACTGCTGCTTCTACTGTGATCACAGTCCCTGCTACACAGGAGACTCTCAGATAATTTCAGTAAAATCATTGGAGACTTCATGAATGAAGTATATGTGAGGTGGGCTCAGAAAGGTGGGTGAATTTCAGTGTAGAAGAGGCAGAGGGAAATATCAGTCTAGGGCATGTGTGTAACTTGAAAGAATCATTCCCACTCACAAATTCAATTCCAAAAATAGAAAGTAAACTGCAATGAAGCTAAACACAATTTCTACCCATGATCAGCTCATCTGATGAATGACCAGGCATGAGGATAATGTGTGCTGGGGAGAACCTGACATTCATAACCTTTGTAGGTCACGTGGCAATGTTCTCTGAAGAATCTTGGGAAGAGATGACAAATAAACTGGAGGAAAGGGAAAGGACACCAGGGCACATGGAAGGGGTAATGTCCTGGAACCCAGGTGAGAGAGTTGGAGAGGAGAAAGGCTTTCATTTGCCAACTTGCTGAACAATGTGAACTTTGGACAATTATGGACTCCCTGAATCAGGATGGCACCAGAGAATCAAACCAGGCACTTTTTGAAATCCTTTCCAATTTTTCCTCTGTAAGCAGTGTGGATGTGTCTTTGTCCAGGTGATGGTGTGGATCCATGGAGGTGGCCTGCTGGTTGGTGGAGCATCACCCTATGACGGGCTGATACTCTCTGCCAATGAGAATGTGGTGGTTGTGAGCATTCAGTACCGTCTGGGAATCTGGGGATTCTTCAGGTAAGATCCTAGACTCTTATTTTCATACATGAGCTTCTGTGTTGACCTGTTTTCTTTTGACTTGACAACATAGCCGACACTGGATAATTGTGCTAAATGAAGAAATTCATTTCCTTCCAACTTTAAGCACTGTATTTAATTAGTCTTTGGTGACAGCATCATTGTGACATCAGAGAATATGTCACAGGAGATATAGAACTGTGTCACAGAAGAAGCCAAGAAGCCAAGGGTGAAGCATCAGGGGCAGACCTGCTCAATTTAAGCAACTCATTATCTTTGGAACAACTATATCTCATGGATTCTACACTAAACTCTTCTGGAGTCACCACCCCAGTGCTACTAGCATATTAGAGTTCAAGGTTTCATCACAGGAATCCTTGGATTGGCTGGGGGTACCACATGCAAAACAAACCATTGTAGCTGCCCCCCCCCAAAAAAAAGTTCAATCCTAGCTATGATCATGCCCTCTCTCAAAGCATTCACTCTTAAGGTTCTTAATAATGCATCTAGTCATTGTGTAATTGGATCCCTGTGAACTTTCATTAGCCAAACAAGCTTATGCGTTTTGTTCTGAGATTTTTGAATGAGCTGATTCCTTCTATCTGGAATGCCAGGTCTACCTGCCAAACACCTATTCCTTGTAAAATCCCAGCCTTCAAGTTACTGCCTCTGAAATACTCATTTCCTTTTCACCTGTGCTGTGTCCCAGCTTTTACCAAAGTTGTGAAAGGACCCTTTTCTCCACAGTTCTTTTTCTTTGAGGAGAGTGAGAATTCAGCAGAGCAATGCAGTTCTGTTCATCTTCTGTGGAAGTAGGAAGAGCCAGACACAAGAGGGAGTGCAAATAATAATCGCTGAGAAAGACTTTCAACCAACTGTGCTGCCAGGGTCTTCTCATCAGGACCAATAGTGAATCAACATCTCTCCCCTCCAGCACCAGCAAACAGACTGATTCACTAGAGCTTCCTCCTAGTTCTTCCAGTACATACAAGTATGAGTGCAAACCACCCTGAAGAACACTGCTGTAGGACTGAATGGCAGAGAAAGGCACTGGTATCAGGCACATGGAGCACAGCCCTCATTCTTGACTGAGATCCCCAAGTCATTTCAGTCCAAAGAGCATCACTGTGATATTCTGGATCATTTCCTTTCTCTGTTTCTTGCAGCACAGGGGATGAACACAGCCGGGGAAACTGGGGTCACTTGGATCAGCTGGCTGCATTGCATTGGGTGCAAGACAACATCGTCAACTTTGGAGGCAACCCAGACTCTGTGACCATCTTTGGAGAGTCAGCAGGAGCTGAAAGTGTCTCTGTTCTTGTAAGTCTTGTTATCACCATCAATTCTCACCCTAGATTGGATATTGCTGATGGATATTCTTGAAGAGCAGTGAATCCAGTCATATGTGCTTCTCTTTATCAGACCTAGATTCACAACAGAGTTTACTCAGTGCCCAAAACCGCTTGTGAGGAACCAAGTCCCAATGCTCCTAATCCTATTGTTCAACTTATTTTCCTGGGGCTCAAAGAATCTCCACCTTCACCGTACAACAGGCATATTACTCTTCTTTCGACTTGATTGAGTTTCCACTCATCTTTCTCATTATTTTCATTGAGTTTACTGGTACATTTGGATAAATATAAGAATAATAATAATCACATGTAATTTCTTCCTGTATGTGTCTGATGTGTCTTGATTCTTCTTTTCTCCCTCAGACTTTTCCCCTGTTCAACCCCTTTTACTCTTCTTACACAAGCTTTATTTCTATTTTATCCTTCTTTTATCATTTTTATATTTTGTCTTCCTTTCTTTCCCCTCCCTCTACTGGGTTTCATTTTTTTAAATCTTTTCTTCCTATTTCATATTACTTATAATGTACTTTGACCCTTATTTACACATTCAGTTTCTCACTCCCATGAAACCATGCAACATAGAAATATGTGATCCATTTATTTCACTTCAGAGTACTGCAGGAAGGTGAATCCATGAACACAGAAATGTCTCAAGGTTAATCCTTCAAAATGATAGAGTAATACTCTATTATATTAAAAGAACCATCTATTTTTTATCCATTACTCTGATGATGGGCTTATTTCAAAGATTTAGCTATTACTAACCGTGCTGCTATAAAGATGGATGGACACTATTGCTTGCGTATGATCTTTTTAATCACTAACACTCACTTTATTTCTCTTGGGAAGTAGGTTTGGAGACAAACTATGAGGTTTCTCTCCAAGATCAAGGGTAAGACTTCAGCCCTGAGTGTAGTGTTGGGGGCCTCCTGTATGTTGTCCCGGTAACTTGCCCATGCATAAGAAGGAAGACAACACTCTCTGCGAGTGTGGGTCAAGTTGCACTTGGTGATATAGGTGAGCAGGAGGAGAGAGGGAAGCTGAAAGTAGGGGAGGTAGTAGAAGAATAGCACAGGAGCTTTGTGACACGGATCCAACCTGGAGTCTTGAGATGTCTTATTCATATGGGGGTTGGGGGCTGGGGGACACTGATTGATATTACAGAGGATTCTGTAAATCAGAAATAATCAGGCACTCCGTGTTTCTATAATTTTTCACACAATATTGGTTTCAGATTTGAATAGCAAAAAGAAGCAATGGTATATTTTTTACAGTAGAGAAACAGGAAAACAATTGTTAAACCCAAAATACAAAATGGTCATCCACATTTCCACTGTCCATTAATAGTCGCTGTGGAACAGTAGCCATGGATTGACATGGTATTTTCCACAGTTCATCAAATATCTGTATATAAAGCACTCTAAAAAGAAACAACCATTGCACTTCCATGAAGTAATCTTTGCTATAATATATTAAATTCTAGGACAGACTTTGTTTCTGTAAATACAAGTGTCTTTCTAGAATTTTGGTTGTTGTTGACATATGCCACACACTTTAAATACTGTCATCTATCCTGGTCTCTAGCTCCATCCCATTAAGATTATCTTGCATCAAAGAAGGATAATCTTCAAACCTCCATGGGTGAATGGATGCAACTCAAGATCATACTCATAAATCAAGCTAATAAGACCCACATGTATAAAAACCATATTGCATAACTAGTGTAAAAACCTAAACAAATAGTTAGGGTCTGAAATATGTAACAGATATTTTGAATTGTGAAGACACTGTTCAAAAAAAAAGATGAACTGTGATGAGTGAAAGAGGAAATAGAAAATGAGAAAAAGAAACATTTATATACATACAAGATAGCAAGTTACACTGCTAGCTCTCATTTGTTCATTGAACAAACTGTTTTGGTCTAGTATTGTTTACAAAAGATAACATACCTATATCATGTACTGTCAACAGCTACTACGAAAAAATATACAATCTATCAACACTTATAACCATCCTACTAATCTGTTTTGAAACTTTTTTTGTTTGCTTACCTATTTTTCTCTTTAAAATAAAATTTAAAAAAATAAAGTTCTCTTAGGGAAATGGCATATAAAGGGGGCCTAGGCAATGAAGGAAATCTGATGGCTGTCATATCAACTCAGTGGCACTATCTTAAGGTAAACAGCAAGGGCACAGAAATACAAAGAAGAAGCCTTAAAGAATAAGTGAGTCATTCACTTACTGAGAATTAACTGAGTTGAGAATTATTGAGTTGAGAATTAACTTCTTCTATCCAACCCTTTACAGGTGCTATCTCCCCTGGCCAAGAACCTCTTTCACAGGGCCATTTCTCAGAGTGGTGTGATCCTCAGTCCTTGTTTGTTAAGCAAGGATGTCAAGCCTCTTGCTAAGGTAGAGCTCATCCTGGAAAGATAACGTACTTTCTCTGCTCTCCTGATATCCACAGATATGGTCCTTACTGTTAAATCTTAAAGGATTACTGAGATGCTCAAAATACTGCTAAGATGAGAATGGAGAGATATAAGAGATATTTTAGGATGATATTTCAATCATATTCCATACTGTATATAGTATCTTCCTGTGAATCATGTTATCCATACATTTTATAGTTAAGTATAAACATTACTTTTGTGGAATACACAGTACACACTTCTGCTTCTCCCCAGCATTAATTCTTTTTATAAGACGAGTTCCATGATTACACCAATATGTGCAGGAGAAATAAAGGTTCAAAAGGGTTAAGGGCCTTGCTGGAGGTCAAATAGCTAAGAAATAGAGGAGTTGGTATTTGAAACAAAACAGTATAATCCTGAATGTAAGCTTTTACCTCGATGCCAAAGCACTGTTTAATGAAGTTCAACTTTGAGAATACTGTGCTTACTTATTTTTATTTATATGTGATATATGTATTTACTGGATGGTGCCCTGTTAATTAAAGAAGCAGTATACTGTGGGACAAAAACAAAACCCGCTCTACTGGTGTATATGATGCTCTGCTACATCCTACTGCATTTAGACACTGAGTTTGTGATAACACTCCTCTGTGTACATCGATGGAAGTAAGTGACACTAACCTGGATCTCTGCTTCTACTTATTGTTGCAGAAAATTGCCATTGCTGCTGGGTGTAAGACCACTTCCTCAGCTGTCATGGTTCACTGCCTGCGCCAGAAGACAGAGGAAGAACTCTTGGAAGCCACACAGAACTTGGTAGGTGCCTCTATTCTAGTGGTACCTGTATACTGACCCTATGCTTCATCTCCTCAGTTGTTCTCTTGCCCTTGTTAAGTTACATGGGATAGATTTTCACTTTCTTTTGTTCTTCTTTTTCAAGTTTTTTAATTGTGGGACAGCAGCACATTACATCTTTCATTCCATTAAATAAAATAGCTTATATGCAGGAGCAAAAAAACTACTATGTTAAAATTCATAATATTTTTAAAGGATTTGAATTACACGATTTTAATGGGTATGCTCACATTGTGTCTTTCAAGCAGAATTATTTTTCAAAATTCCTGTGATGTTCATGGAAATTGTTCAGTATTTTGCTCTTCAAATGGCATCATTTGTGCTTGACAAAGATTTTGGAAAGCATTTATTTGATTCTTGACAACTGTGCATTCTTCTAGGTTGCCAGAGGAGACTCTATCTTGTGTAAATGTAAATACCTGGTTACTTCACTCTCTGTCATGGAGGGCAGTTCATTCTTTTTGTAGGAAGCCTTGATTTTCAAGGTAGATGAGACCAAGAGCCTTTATCAGTAGGCAGGCTTCAAACTGTTTCCAGACCCATTGTTTACTTCTTTTAATTTATTTTATTTTTACAACGAATAAAATACAAGAGAAAAGAACAAAGCAAATCAGAAAAGAATAATGCAACTAACATAGCAATTCACAACAAGACAACTGGAGATCAATGGTAGCTCCCATAATGTCTTTTCTTTGAAATAGTTGAGCATACCTTCACACACAGTAATATCAAATATAACAAAATAGTATAAAATCATTCAAGAGAATGAAAGCATCATAGGACATTCAAAACCAAACAACAGGAAATGAACAGTGGCTACTATAATATCTCATTTTCTTTTAAAAAAATTTTATACCATACACACAATAAAATCTAATAAGACACAACAGGATAGAAAAAATCAAAACATAACAAAACCATGGTAGGACTTCAAAGCAAGATGATAGTAAATCAGCAATGGCTACCATAATGTGAAAATATCTATTCATACCATCACACATAATAAAATCAAACAAGAGTAAATCTATCCAACCAATGAATGAAAGCATTATAAGACTTCAAAGCAATATAATGGGAAACCATGATTACCATAAAATCTTATATACTCTAACCATTTCTTGTACCAAGGAGACTATATGGTATTTACACAATGAATTTGATTTATTTCACTTAAGAGTACGGTTTCAAGTTGCATTCATTTATTTATAAATATCTCAATGTGATCATCCTTTATAGCTGAGTAGTACCTCATTGTATAAAAATACCACATCTTTTTAATCTATACTTCAGTTGAAGGGCATTTAAGGTGTTTTCAAGATCTGGTTACTACAAATTGTGTGGCTATAAACATGGATGCACATATATCACTGTGATATGATGATTCAGTTCTTATGGGAATATGCCCAGAAGTGGAATAGCTGGGTCAAATGGGACTTCCAATCCCAGAATTTTGAGGAACTTCTAGGCTGAAATCCACAGTGGTTGCACCAGTCTGCACTCACACCAGGAGTGCAGAGGAGTTTCTTTTTCTCCTGAAGCCTCTCCAGCACTTGTTGTTGGTAGTTTTCTTTATCCTGGCCATTCTTTCTGAAGTGAGATGAAATCTCATTGTGGTTTTCATGTATTTATTTGCCATTTGTATTGCTTCAGGTGAGAACTGCATATTCGTCTTGGATACACATTTTTGGATTGTGTATTTGAATTTGGGGGGTCTGAATTTTTTAATTCTTTATATGTTCTAGACAGAAGTCCTTTGTCTAAGGAACAATTCACTAAGAATTTTTTTGAAATTTGTGGATTTTCTTTTCACTATGCTGGAGATTTCTTTAGACATGCAGAAACTTTTTAATAAGATGTGACCCTCAATTATTGATTCTGTGAAGTATTTCTTATGTAGTTTGATTCATGTTGATGAATTCTCTACCTACCCCTATGTCTTCAACATTCCTACCTACTTTGTTTTCCAACAGATTTAGTGTTTCTGTTGTAATATTTAGATCTCTTATCCATTTTAACTCCAGTTTAGTACATGGTGATACGCCTGGGTCTAGTTTTAGTTTTCAGCATATGGAGACCCAGTTTTTCCAGCACCATTTATTAAAGAGACTATCTTATTTCCAGTGAACTTGTTTGGCTCCTTTATCAAAGATAAGGTGACTGAGTGTGTTTGTACTTGTAGTTGTATCTTCTAATCTACTCTATTGATCTTCAGGTCTGTTTTTATTCCAGTACCATGTTGATTTTATGACAGTAGCTTTGTAGTATAACTTCAAGTCAGGGATTGTGATGTCTCCTGCCTTGCCTTTGTTGCTTAGAATTGCCTTTGCTATTCTAGGTCTCTTCTAGTTCCTGATGAATTTTAGGAGTGATTACTCTAGATATACGAGGTATGCTAGTGGTATTTTGATGGGAATTGCATTAAATCTGTATAACAATTTTAGGATAATGACCATTGTTGTAGTCAGAGGTTGTGAGAACAATTAAAATCAGGACATGGATTTTATATTATTTTTATAATGGTCACACAGAGTTAACACAAGAGAATGAAGGAAATGTATCCAAAACACTAAAGACATAGAATATTTAGTCAAGGGCCTGAATCTCACAGCAATGTCCCACACAAGTCCAGATGAAGACCCAGAGCTCATGACAATGCCTCCTATGAGTCCAACTGGAGATCTAGAGCCCAAAGAAGGACTTACGCCAGTCTGTTTTATAGGTCTGTGCTGGGAAGGCCCAAAGCTCAGTGCTGGAAGCTAGAAAGTCCAAGCCAGCAGGGTAAAGGAGCTGTGCCAGAAGATTGAGTGTTCTATGCTTGAGCTGAGAAGGCAAGCTCACAACAAAGACCACGGCTATCCTGAAAAGCACCACAGCTGTCCTCAGCGACACAGAGGCCCCTAATGCCTTGGATGATAAGCATAGTTGAGTACATACCAGGAAGTCAGTGTGACAAGTTCTCCCTTGAGACCAAGTGTCACACAACTTCCCCTCCTGGAGCCAGGAAGCAATGCTTTATGTGAGACCAGAGCTTCTCCAAGAGAACGGAAGGGCTCAAACAGTAACATGTAAGAGAACCCACAATGCCTCAGTGTCTCAACGCCCTTCTTCTCCTCCATGTCACTATTCATGCTGGCAACTTTCCCCAAGTAGAACATTTATGTTCAGCACCCTGCTGATGTAATTCAGCTAGCATTAAGTTGACCACAAGCTCTTAATCCATAACAGCCATTTTCACAATATTTGTTTTTACTATCCATGAACAAGGGCTGTTTTCCCATTTTCTGAGGTCCTTTTCAATTTCTTCTTCAGGGTACTACAATTTTCCCTGAATATATCTTTTGCTTCTTTTGTTACATTGCTTACTAAGTATTTCATTTTGTTGAATGCTATTGTTAAGGGGTGTGGCTTCTCTTATTTCTCTCTCAACAGTTTTTTTGTTAGTGTATAGGAATGCTATTGATTTTTGAGTGTTGACTTTTTATCTAGGTATATTACTGAATTTATTTATTATACCTAGGAGTCTTTCAGTGGAATTTTGGGGGTCTTCTACTTAGAGTATCATGTCATCTTCAAATAATGATAATTTAATTTCTTGTTTTCCTATCCTTACTCCTTTTAATTTTCGCTCTTGTCTAATTGCTCTGGGTAGTATTTCCAGCAGTATATTGAATACGAGTGGAGATAATGGATGTCTTTGTCTTGTACCTGATTTTAGGGTAAAGATTTTCAGTTTTTGGCCACTTAATATGATGCTGGCTGTTGGTTTGTCATAGATGGTTGGTTTTATCACATTGAGGTAAAGACCATCTATTCCAGTTTTCTGTAAGGTTCTTATCATGAATAAGTATTGCACCTTATCCAAAGCTTTCTCTGCATCTGTAGAAATGATCTTGTGATTCTTACTTTTGGCTTTATTGATTGGGGGATTATATTTATTGATTTGCATGTGCTGAACCATCCCTGCATTCCTAAGATGAATCCCACTTGATCATGGTGTATAATCCTCTTGATGATTTGCTGCATTCTGTTTGCCAATATTTTATAAATTTATAAATTTTATAATATAAAATACTGAGAAGTTTTGCACCTACGTTCATTAGGGACATTGGCCTGTAGTTTTCTTTTTTAGTTGGGTCTTTCTCAGGTTTTGGTACTGGAGTGATATTTGTTTCCAGGAGTGAGACAGGGAGAATTGCTTCCCTTTCGATTTCATAGAAGAGTTTGAGGAGTGTCAGCGTTAAGTCTTCTTTGAATTTCTTGTAAAATTTTGCAGTGGATCTGTCAGGGCCTGGGCTCTTCTTTGTTGACAAGGATATAATTACATTTTCAATTTCTTTAATTGAAATTAGGTTATTCAACAGTTTTACATTTTCTTGACCCAGCTTTGGTAATTCATGTTTCTAGGAATCTGTCTATTTCTTTTGTGTTATCAAGCCTTTGAGAGCAGAGGTTTTTGAAACAGGTGTTGAAGATATTTTGTATTTCCACAGCATCTGTAGTGATTTCATCTTTTTCATACCTTATTACATGAATTTGAGTTTTTTTCTTTCCTTTTTAAAATAAGATTGGCTAGGGAATTATCAGTTGTATTTATTCTTTCAAAGAACAAACTCTTTGATTCATTTATTCTTTGTATTGTTTTCTTAGTCTTTATTGCATTAATTTCTGCTCTGGTTTTTATAATCCCCTTCCTTCTTTGGTCTTTGGGCTTGACTTGCTCTTCCTTTTCTAGATGTTTGAGGCATAGCATCAGGTTGTTTATTTGTGTTTGTTCTGTTTTCCTGATTTGGTAATTCACTGCAATATTTTTTCTCTGAGGACTACTTTCAGTGCATCCCACAGATTCCAGGAATTTGTATTTGTATTTTTGTTTGCTTATAGATATTGCTTAATTTCTTCTTTAATTTCCTCTGTGAAACACTGATTGCTCAGGAGTGTGTTATTCAGTTTCTATGTGTTTG